CCCCCCGTAAGGGCAGCCTCTCCAGTTCCCACTTCCACTGAGACCACAGGCATGCTCCCCCAATGCCTACCCCACCCTCCAAGACAGAGCCAGAAGTCAGAGAACCAGGTGCTGGATCAGCGGTTCTTAAACTTTTATCCGCACCTGAATATCCTGGAGGGAGACTCAGGACCTCACCCCTGGAGTTTCTGAATCGGCAGCTGAGGTCAGGCCTGAGAACCTGCATTTCTAACAAGTTCCCAGGGGATGCTGATGCTTAGAAGTCCAGGGAACACACTTTGAGGATCACTGGTCAACTGAGAAGAACAAGGGGCTGCCAGATGGACCAAACAAAGGACTCACTCCCCTTGCCAGAAGACACTCCCCTGGGGAAAGGGTGAGCATGTTTTGCTTGTGGGAGGAAGGGTGCATATGGATATTTGGGTGGCCCAAAGCAGAGGGCTGTAGGAAGACAGCGCTGTCCCTCCAGTATGTATCCCCTCCTCTGCTAGAGTAACAGACGCTTTAGTTGTGCACACAGGCTCTCAGCTACAGATTACATTTCCCAGCCTCCCCTGCAACTAGGCGTGATCATGTGACCAGTCCTGGCCAACGGCCTGGAAAGGGAGGTTATGTTGCAGCTTCCAGGGGACCGCGCCCTTCTTGTAGGCTGGAAGGCACGTGTGGAGGCACAGAGTAGCCATCTCAGGTATGAGCTGGCAGCCAGCTATCCCAGACAACAGAGCAATGAAAACGAAAGAAACTGGTCCTTGACACTCGGCAGCTGCCCTATGAGCCCTGGGCAGCTTGGACTGTCACAGGAGAGAGAAATAAACGTCTGTCTCATTTAAGTCACCACAGCCTACCCTTAGTAACAGCAATGAACCTGGGATGCTAATACACGAAGCCACCAAGAAACAGCTAGAAGAGTAAAATGGTTGACACTGGCAAGCAGATTTGCCAGAAGAAGGAATGGTAAGCCTTCTGCACTAATTTATTCTAATTCTTATAACATTTAGTGTTTGACAATTGAACAATAATGGTCTTGGCAATTAAGGCTGAGAAGATACCAAGGAACAGAGACCCACACACCTAGCTCTCTATACAATGGCACTAGCAGCCCCAGAGGACACGATTTCAAGAGACTGGATACACATGTGGCCCCCTGGGAACCCCACACTCCACCTTTCAGTTCACATACAACCTATGGAAGGCCTCTGCTAAATGCAAATATATTACCTGGAGTCGTAAGTCTCTGAGGACAACACTTTGTCTCTGGGACTTTTGGTATCTGGTTTTCAAGCTCTGTTTTATTCAAACTTATTCTTAAAGCTCTCTAAGAACTGGTGGGCAGAAGTCAGGTTCTCAAACTGCTGCGGGCAACTGAGTAAGTTCCTAAACAATCTGCAGCAAGTAAATGCAAACTAAGGTTTAACTAATGTTACAATCGGGGAAGGGAAAACGGACCGGCTGGAATAACAGAAACGTAATACGCTCCACACATGCCCTCTGTATTCACTTCCAAAAAGTGACCAAGATTTATGGCACTTTTTCTCCCTAATGAAAAACAAACAAACAACAACAAAAAAAACCCCAAGATACAGAAAGGGGAAGTGTCTTGCCTGAGGACTGAAGGCAACAGTGACAACACAACCGAACTCCCAAAACAAAAGTGGATGCAGAGACAGGCTTGAACCTCTCTTCCTCAGGCAATTTTAATCAGCAAGGCTAAGCAGCAGAGAAAAGAGGACTGGGGAACACAGGTGGACTCTCACGGCCCTGAGAGGTTAGAGGAGGTTGGAACTGGAAAACAGGGAACTGAGTAAAGTCCTAAGAAGAAAGGATGACAGGCAAATATCACTGTTTCCTGGAAGCCCGAACACCGAGTGCAGTGAAGTTCCCGTGAGAAAAGCTAAGAAGGAGGGCTCTGATCCAAACGCGCCTGGGTGTGACCGGACCTGTGCCCTTGGGGGAGGCTCTGAGCCGTTCCTGACCTCCGTGTCCTCAGGGGGAGAAGGGGCTCCTTAGATCGCCCACCTCGAGGGGCTGCTGGGAGGAGCCACGCTCAGCGCCTGGTGCCTCAAAAGTGCCCAGTCAGTGTCAGCTTCAAACAGAGTGTCACGCTGCAATGAGTATGTTTCTCTGAATCTGGCACTATGTTGTGTGCTGACCTCAAATCGTTAAGAATATATTCCAGATTAGTCAACAGCCAGGTTCTGACGTCAGTGGCAAGCTGGTGTGTCCAGTGAGAGGCCTGTGTCTCAATCCCCAGTACGTCTCTGCCCACAGGCCTCGGGACACCCCTGCAGCATCCCAGTGCCCTGCAGAGACAAAACCGGCATCCCCCTCCCCAAAGTGGCCTGAGCAGGAGGCCTGGTCCCTCCATTCTGACTGTACCTGATCCAGCAGCTTTCCCACTCTCCCTCTGCAGCACCCCCTCTCCACACCTACCTCTCTCCCTCTCTCCCTCTCTCCCTCTCTCTCTCTCTTTGTCTCTCTCTCTCTGGCATCCTTGGGTGGGCATGAATTTCCTCACCTCTTTTTGAACCCATGAAGAATTTATCACTGGACTTCCCTGGTGGCGCAGTGGTTAAGAATCCACCTGCCAATGCAGGGGACACGGGTTCGAGCCCTGGTCTGGGAAGATCCCACATGTCACGGAGCAACTAAGCCTGTGCGCCACAACTACTGAGCCTGTGCTCTAGAGCCCACGCACCACAACTACTGAGCCCGTGCACCACAACTACTGAAACCCACGCGCCTAGAACCTGTGCTCCGCAACAAGAGAAGCCACTGCAACGAGATGCCCGCATACCACAACGAAGAGTAGCCCCTGCTCACCACAACCAGAGAAAGCCTGCGCACAGCAACGAAGACCCAACGCAGCCAAAAATAAAATAAATTAAAAATAAATTAAAAAAAAAAGTTTATCACTAATTCTCTCAAAACATGAAAAGTATGTGAAGGCACATCTACTCAATAATCAGTTCTACCACGTGCCAGGTTCTGGGGATGCAGACAAGCCAGACAGGGGTCTGCAAGCAGCTACACAGGATAGGCATTGGTCACACCAACCAACCAATGTGGCATGGGTCTGAGCAGGTCTCCACCTGTAAGGCCACCCTGGTGTCTCCTGACTTGTCCCTGAGGGTGGAGGTCTCTAAGCCCCCACTCCTCCTCCTGGAAGCCCTCCCTGATTTAGTCAGGCAGGTGCTGAACTGAGGTCTGTTGGTTCAGCCAGGTTATTCCCAGCTCAGGAACCCCAGCCAGGACAGCTCCAGGGCCCACAGGGTCTTCCACAGGCCTCTGGGGCTCTGAATGCCCTGCTCTCTACCTCCCACACCAGCTCTATGCTAGTTCCTGCAACACCCCAGGCCTTTGCACAAGGGCCTTTGTCCCCTCTCCCCTGGGCTTTCTTACTCCAGCTCTTCACGTGGCTGTCTTCTTTCCATTCCTCCAACTTCACCTCCTCAGACTGGCCTTCCGTGACAACCGTGTTCTAGAAGGCTCCCCTACCTTGTCACTCCATCCCATTATTTTTACTTGTTTTCCTGTCTACTGACTGTCTCCTCATGACTATGCTCTCCACGAGGGCAGAGGACCTATCGCTTTGCCCACCTGTATTCCAGGACCTCGGACAGCACCAGGCACTGGCCAGGGGCTCAGTGAGTACCTGTGAGAAGTCTGGCTCACTGTCCCACACTGAAGGAGTCTCTTTGGGGACATGGCGGGGGAGGCCCAGGTGGAGATAATCAGACCCCTCATTCCCCTGCCTCTGCTGAGCACCGGCTGAACACCAGGTCCTTGACGTGTTCTATTTCTTCAATTTCACAGACACCCTGCAAGGTAGGGAGGTATTATTTATTACCTGCTAAATACATTCCCACCATGGTTGTATTCTCCTGTAGGAGGACAATTTGGTAATACTGGTATTGATATCAATCAAAACTTAAAATACACAAACCTTCAGCCCAGCCATTCCAATATTGGAAAGTCATCCCACGTGAGATTCACATGTGTGCAAACGGGGTGCACATCCCAACACTGTACACAAGAGGCAACTGGTAGAAGCAACCTGAACACCTATCAATAAATCATGGTACATCTGTCAAAGGAATACAATGTGGCTGTTAAAAGAATGTCTCAATATGAAACAATCTGCGAGATCGACTGCTAGGTGAAAATAAAGGGGACAGCCGAGTGCATGGTGTTCTCTTACTATCTGTATAAAAAAGTGTTGTAGACACATATATACATTTGCCTAGAAAATCTCTAGGAAGGTAGATAAGAAATTGTGACTACTGGTTACTTCTTGGGAGGCCAAATTGGGAAACAAGATGAGGACGTAAATAATTTTTACTGTAGACTTTCTTGAATTTTTATGCTACAGCTATTTTTAAATTTCTATTTATTTATTTTTGGAACAGAGAACAAAAATTTAAAAGGTGCAAAAAGACTGACAATAAAGTCTCTCTCCAACACCTGGTTCCCTGGCCACCCGATTCCTCTCCCCAGGGGTGACCACCGTTACTAATTTCTTAGTTGGATGGTAAACTCTTTCATTCAAAATTTTTTTAAGATTAAGAAAGGTTTTCTGGGGCTTCCCTGGTGGCACAGTGGTTGAGAGTCCGCCTGCCGATGCAGGGGACGCGGGTTCGTGCCCCGGTCCGGGAAGATCCCACATGCCGCGGAGCGGCTGGGCCCAGGAGCCATGGCCGCTGAGCCTGCACGTCAAGAGCCTGTGCTCCGCAACGGGAGAGGCCACAACAGTGAGAGGCCCGCGTACCGCAAAAAATAAATAAATAAATAAAAATAAAGGTTTTCTAATTTTATTTATTTTTACATTTTGGCCATGCCGAGCAGCATGCGGGATCTTAGTTCCCCAACCAGGGATCAAACCCATGCCCCCTGCAGTAGAAGCGCGGAGTCTTAACCACTGGATCGCCAGGGAAACTCCAAGAAAGATTGTAAGGTGAGAGGGCACAGCTCACGCTGGCTGCTAGGGGGCCTTGGTAACTCACAGTTGAGGATGATCTGGGCGGCGCGGTAGAGCTCTAGATGGCACAGGAGGTCCAGCAGCTGCTGGACGGTGGCCTGCCGCATGCTCCACCACCACAGCAGCTCGCGCGTGATGCTCACGCCCTGCACCCGCTCCATAGACTTGATCTTCCGCAGCTGGGTCAGGTCTGTGATCACATAGGAGGCTGGAAGGCAAGCAAAAAGGGATGCTTAGAGCCAGAAGGGCAGCCCCTCCACCAGAGGGTCACCATGCTGGCCCAGCTCTGTCCACCACAAAGCCGCCTGGCCCCATCCTACCTGAAACTCCACCAGGAGCTGGGGTCCACAGGCAGCCCAAGTCATTCAGTGCCCGCGGGGACCAGCACACTCACACTTTAATGTAAATGTCAACTTGGTTGCCACACAAGACTTAGGAGAAAGACCAGTGGACGAGAGGGCCAGGGGCCCTGAGGTTTAGCTGCTTATTTGCTATGTGCAAGTCACTTCCCCAGTGGGATGGGAGGCTCGGTTTCCTCAACTGTAATAGAGAACTTGCCCTCCAAACAGAAGCCCCGTGTAGGCAGAGAGTTTTCTCTGTTCCATTCACTGTTAAATCCTCAGAACAGAGAAGAGTGCCTGGCACAGAGTGGGGGCAGGGCCAGGACCAAAGTGAGGCAGGGGAGGCACCCAAGGCGCAAATCTGAAGGAGGTGCTCATTCTCAGGGCTGGTACTGCACCTGCAGCAGCAGCCAGAGAGTAGGGCCTCCTATAATTTTGCCTTGGGGGGCGTCCCTGGTGGCGCAGTGGTTGAGAGTCCGCCTGCCGATGCAGGGGACGCAGGTTCGTGCCCTGGTCCAGGAAGATCCCACATGCCGCGGAGCGGCTGGGCCCGTGAGCCATGGCTGCTGAGCCTGCGCGTCCAGAGCCTGTGCTCCGCAACGGGAGAGGCCACAACAGTGAGAGGCCAGCGTACCGAAAAAAAAAAAAAAAAAAAAAAAATTTGCCTTGGGCATCTCATTCTCCTCATCTCTAAGTCCCAGCCCTGGCAGGGGGAACTCAAAGAATGAATGAATGAGTGAATGAATGAATCCACAGCCCACCATCCTCACAGAACTGCTATTAGGAGCAAGAGAGCTATGGATCTAAAAGCACTTTGCCAAGTCTGAAGCACTGTGCAATTTGCAGAGGGCTACTGTCCACAATACTAAAACGAATGCATTCCTTCTTTTCATTTTCTATTATAAAATGGTTGCTCATTAAAGAAAACTTGGAAAAACGTAGGGGAAAGAAGCTAATAAATTACACAGCATCCCACGAGGGTACTTTCCCTTCCGAAAGTCTCCCCACCACACGCACAGGGGTGCTTCTGGATCCAGTTAGTGCCAGGCTGTAAGTAAGACTGTGCATCCAGGCCTTATTTACTAACATTATACCATAAGCATTTTCCAAGTTGGTACAAGCTCTTCATACATGGAATTTTTGAACTGTCACATAGTATTCTGCTGAGTTTCCTGAAGTGAGGGAGGCATTTTTTATTCCCCTAAACTAGGACTAAAATAATCGGACTTCAGTTCCAGGATTTCAGAAATCGTGGAGCAGGTATCTACGTGAACATCAAGTCATACATTCATTCAACAAAATATTATTGAGCTCCAGGCCTCTGAGAAGCTCTAGAGATACAGGGGTGAGTCAACCAGAAGCCCACGGAGGTTTTCTGTTTGAAAAATACAAACATAAGTGAACTGAGTGGGGAAGAGGAAGACAAGAGACCACGCCTATGTAATGAAGGGGCTCGAAGGCCAGGCTACAGTTTGAACCCTGATCCTAAGAGCCACGGACACCAGGACACCATGGAAGACCTCAGAGCCAGGGAGGGACACGATCATATTGTACAGTCCCTGTCCCTCTGGAGGAATGGGGAAGGTTGTGACAGCCTCCCACAGAGAGAAAGCCTCTGGGAGAAGTGCCCTGTTAGGGATGGGAAGTTCTTGAGTTGTAACTTTAGTCACTGGAAACCCCAGGCCAGATTCCTGGTCCATGGGTAGTGATGTCAGCAGGGTCAGGGGCTGCCTCCAGCAGCAGAGAGAAAAGAGTAGAGGGAAGAGGAAGGAACCCCTTGCCCCCAGCCCTCCCTGCACACGAGCTCTGTTCGTGGGCTCACCTCCCACGCTCCGAGGCAGCGTGATGTCATGGGAAGAACAGAAGCCCAGGGCCGTCCCTGGGGCTCCACTGCGGCAGCAGAAGCCAAGCCCAGCCCTCACGTCCGTGGGCTGTACTTTCCTCACAGGCAATGCAGGAGGAAGAGGAATTAAACCCAGAGGTGCCTTGCAATGTGGACGTTGTAGCTCCATGAAAGTGGTATCTCTTATGGTGTTGACCTGTCAGCATTTAACATGACCCTTAAAACAGGGTCAAGACAAGATAGAGATCTCAGGGGGATGAGTCACTGCCGAGCGCCCTGCTGAGTCCATGGCTCTTTGCCCAACACACACCAGTAATACCTGGTCGTTATAGAACATTTGGAAAATGGGAGAAAATCAAAGCCCTCGTGATCATCCCACTTGGAAGACCCCAAGAAAAGCACTGGTTATACTCTTGCTTCTTCTTCCAGGCTTTTCTATTAGATATAAAAATACATGCTTATGCCAGCAGGATGGTACAGTGGTGGGTTCAGGGCCCAGACTCTGGATTCTGAGGCCTGGGTTCAAATCTTCTCTCTGCTACTTACTTCCCACGTGCTTGGGGAAGGCCCTTCACTTCTCGCTGTGCCTCAGTTTCCTCATTTGCAAATGAGGAAAACAACAGCACTTGCCTCAGAGGTTGTTGTGAGGATTAGATTACTTATATGTATAGAATAATATGTATGTGATATAAATGTTCACTGCAATTGTTAAGCCATCTACGCTCTATGAAAAGCTGCTTTTATCCCCAATGGTTAACACTACGTGGCGATCATCCCTCCTGGTCTGACTTCCTGAATCTTGCAGGACACAGTAGACAACCTTGCCCATCTTCAAAGCCCTCTGGAGCAGAGACGGCACAGCTTCCTGAAGTGAGGGTGAAACGCCCTTTGTCCGGACTAACAAGACTCTTTCCTGGTTGAGGGAAGGGGAAAGCGTCTTGTCCCTTAAGCCTCTCAGCAACTCATCCCCATTTTATAGATGAGGAAACTAAAGGCTCAAAGAGGGGCAGTCACTCGCCTGAAGCACATAGCTGGGCAGGGACAAAGCAGGCCTGTGCACAAAGGCTGGCACGTGCATGAAACAGCAAGATGGAGAGCCGTCCAACAGAGGAAGCCCTGCCCCAGGATCCCTGGGAATACACCTGGGGTGAGTGAAGCTGTGAGAAGCCTGGTTTCCCCCAGGGGCAAAAATGAACACAGCCACAATCACAGGGAAATGAGCAGGAGGGAGCCACATTATCTGCCAAAATTGTCAAATCCAAAGAGCGTGCGTATTTGTGGCTGTGTGCTTTTCTGAATCACTTTATGGATTTTTCTACCTCCACTCCCCGGTATCACAATCAGCCCCAAGGGATGATCTCTTCTAAAATGATGCACATTATCTGTAATAGTCAAAGACTAGAATGTCATTTTAAAAAAAAGAATAAATTGTGGAATATGCAGTAGGATTTTTCAACCTAAAAAAAAAAAAGACTCGCAGAAACCGAGACTCTTTAGGACTGGAAGGACAATCACAGTCGCTTACTGTGCTGAACAGAAAACCATGGAATGCTGTGACTTGCCAAGGAGCTGCTACCTGGGGGTCACAGCTGGCTCCCAGCCCAGTGACCTCTGACCCAGCACAGAGACCTGGCCAAGCATGGGCTCCAAGCCATCCCGTGTCCCCACCGTTCCCACATCCTTCAGCCCATCATTCATTCCAGTGGCACTGAGTGTCTGCCCACTGGCCAGGCACTGCCTCAGACACTGGGAATACAGGAGCAAACTAGATGCGTGATGTCCCTGCCCTCATGGCACCGACATTCTACAGGGAGAGACAGACATAAACCAATAAGGAACAAGGTCAAAGCATGTTAAGAGGAATGAAGAAAATAAAACATGTTGATAAGAAAAAGAGGAAAGGGGGACAGGGTCAGCCTCTCAAACAAGGTGACATATGAACTGAGAAATGAAAGACTATAGCCCCCCAAAGACGTCAGTGTCCTAAACCCCGAAACCTGTGAATATGGTACCTTACGTGACAAAAGGGACTTTGCAGATGGCATTAAGTTAAGGATTTTGAGATGAGATTACCCTGGATTATCTGACTGAGCCCAGGGGTCCTTATCAGAGGAAGGCAGGAGTGTCCGATTCAGAGAAGATCATGACAGAAGCAGAGGTCAGAGGAAGAGATTTGAAGATGCTACCCCGTTGTCTTTGAAAGTGGAGGAGGGGCCACAGGCCAAGGGACACAGGCAGCCTCTAGAAGCCAGTGAAGGCAGAGAAATGGATTCTCCCCTAGAGCCTCCAGAAGGACAGCTGCCCTGCCAACACCTTGATTTTAGGACTTCTGACCTCCAGAACTGTAACACAATAATGGCCGTTTTTAAACTATTAAATTTGTGGTAATTTGTTACAGCAGCAAGAGGAAACTAACAGAGACTAGAAAGCTAGCCACGTGGAGGACAGAACGAAGAATGTCCCAGACAGAGTAAACAGCAAATACAAAGGCCCTGAGTCTGGACCAAGGAGGCCAATGTGGCTGGAGCAGGGTGGGCATGAGAGGGTGTTGGAGGAGAGGAGGTCAAAAGTCAATGGCGCTCAGACTGTGCCAGACCCGGCAGGCCTGGTGAGGGATTTGGATTATAACCTAAATCACAATGGGCAGCTCCTGAGGACCTTGAGCAATTCTGGTGTCTCCAAGCCCTAAGGAGTCAGAGGTATTCTCCTCAGAGGATGTACAAATGCACATGAAGAGACGGCCAACGTCATTAGTCATTACAGAAATGCTAATCAAAACCAGAGCAAGAGGCACTTCCCTGGTGGTCCAGTGGTAAAGAATCTGCCTTCCAATGCAGGGGACACAGGTTTGATCCCTGGTTGGGGAACTAAGATCCCACATGCCGCGGGGCAGCTAAGCCCGCGTGACACAACTACTGAGCCCACACGCCCTGCAGCCTGTGCGCCACAACTGGAGAGAGAAAACCTGCACACCACAACTAGAGAGAAGCCCGAGTGCCACAGCAAAGAGCCCGCACGCCACAATAAAAAGATCCCGCGTGCCTCAACAAAGAACCTGTGTGCCTGCATCTAAGATCCGACGCAACCTAAATAAATAAATAAATAAATAAACACAGCGAGAAACCACTTCTCACCTGCTCAGATGGCTACAAACTCAGCAAGACAGACAATAACAAGTGTTGGGGGGAGGGGATGTGGAGAAATTGGGACCCTCACACATTGCTGGTGGGAATGTAAAATGGTACTCGCACTTCCAAAAACAGTCTGACACTTCCTCAAAATGTTAAACGCAGAGTTACCCTATGACTCAGTAATTCCCCTCCTAGGCATCTACGCAAGGGAAATGAAAACGTAAAGGCACACAAAGACGTACACAAATGTACACAGGAGCATTATTCATAATAGCCAAAAAGTGGAAAGAACCCAAATGCCCATCAAATGACAGAAGAATAAATAAAATGCAGTACGTCCATACGATGGAATGTTATTCAGAAATAAATAAAAAGAAATTGGGACTTTCCTGGTGGTCCAGTGGGAAAGAATCCGCCTTGCAATTCAGGGTACGCAGGTTTGATCCCTGGTCAGGGAATTAAGATTCCCACCTGCCTTGGGGCAACTAAGCCAGTGCACCACAACTACTGAGCTCACGTGCCTCAACTAGAGAGCCTGCTTGCCGCAAAACTACACAGCCCACGCGCCCTGGAGCCTGCGCGCCACAACTAGAGAAGAGAAAAGCCCGCACACCACAGCTAGAGAGAAGCCCGCGTGCCGCAACGAAAGATCCCACGTGCCACAACTGAGACCCGACGCAGCCAAGAAATAAATAAAATAAATACTAAATAAATCTTAAAAAAAAAAGAAATTAAGCACTGATACTTGCTATGACATGGATTAACCTTGGAAACATGCTAAATAAGTCAGTCACAAAGGACTACATATTGTATGATTTATTCCATTTATATGAAATGTCCAGAATAGGCAATGCCTAAAGCTGGGGGGAAATGGGAGATGTGTGTGAGAGTGCTGAGGGAGACTGCTGAGGGGTACAGGGCTTCTTTCTGGGGTAATGAAAATGTTCTAACATTGATTTGGCGACGGATGCACAACTCTGCATATACTAGATGCCACTGAATTGTACACTTTAAATGGGTGAATTGCGTGGTAGGTGAATTATACCTTAATCAAGCTGTTTTTTAAAAAAAGTCATACACAGAGAACAGACTAGTGCTTGCCAAGGGGGAGGGGGTGTGGGGGAGGGATGGATTGGGAGTTTGGGATTAGCAGATTCGAACTAATATATATACTGACAGAATGGATAAACAACAAGGTCCTACTGTATAGCACAGGGAACTATATTCAATAGTTCCTGTGATAAACCATAATGGAAAAGAATTTTTAAAAAGAATGTGTGTGTGTATATATATATATATATATATAACTGAATCATTTTGCTGTACAGCAGAAATTGACACAACATTGTAAATCAACTATACTTTAATTTTTAAAACTTTAGTAAAATAAAAAGAAAGCCATAGGTGTGCCTTCTAAAATAGCAACAATATCCTAGAAACAGAAGTTGCTGTGGCCTTCACAATTGAGGCCAACATGGAAAACACTAGAGAGAGTCTCTTCCACAAAGTGTTTGCCCACTGCTCAGGAAACAGTCGAAGTAGTTAAATCACAGATCATCTGAGCAAAGGGACACAGTGCAGTCTAGAAAATCAGATGGTGACAGACATTCTCAGAGGTGCCCTGACTTGTTACCAGGGACAGCCTCTGTGGGGAGGCTGAGGGGCAGGGAGGGGAAAGATATTTACTTTCCCCTCTGTCCCAGGGGCGTGATTTACACCATTTAACCTAGTACATCTGTTATTTTTTTCCACAAAGAAGTTAATAAAAATACACACTGAAAGTAAAAGCCTAAATCCATGCTGCTAAAGAATATTGCTTAGCAAGAAAAAATAATTGTGATATAGTTTAAATGAAAAAAGCAAGCTAGTAGAGTGTACAAAATGATACGATTTTTGGAAAACGTTTATACATAAATAAATATGGTTAGTAAAAAAGACTAGAAGGCATAAGACACCCAGCACCCTGCTGGCACATAGTCAGAAGCCAATACATGTTAGCGGCTGCTGTTGTTATTATTACTATTGGCAACCAAATGGTAAGAATGGTATCCCTTATGGGGATATATATACACATATAGCTGACTCACTTTCTTGTACAGCAGAAACTAACACAACATTGTAAAGCATTTATACGCCAATAAAGATGTGGGAAAAAAAAGAATGGTATCCTTGGGCTTCCCTGGTGGCACAGTGGTTAAGAATCTGCCTACCAATGCAAGGGACACAGGTTCTGAGCCCTGGCCCGGGAAGATCCTACATGCCACGTAGTAACTAAGCCTGTTCGCCACAACTACTGAGCCTGAGCTCTAGAGCCCGCAAACCACAACTACTGAGCCCACGTCCCACAACTACGGAAGCCCGCGCACCTACAGCCCACGCTCCACAACGAGAAGCCTCCGCAATGAGAAGCCCACGCACCGCAACGAAGAGTAGCCCCCGCTTGCCGCAACTAGAGAAAGACCACACGCAGCAACAAAAACCCAACATAGCCAAAAATAAATTCATTAATTAATTTTAAAAAAATACTCCCTCCAAATTAAAAAAAAAAAAATGGTATCCCTGAGTGGTGGAGTTTGAGCTACTCTTTATTTCCCGCAGTATTTTGCAATAAGAGTGTATTATTTTTGTGACTGGTTTAAAACAGGATTTCTGAACCTCAGCACTACTGACACTTTAGGCTGGATAGTTCTTTGTGGAGGGGGCGGTTCTGTGCATTGCAGGACGTTTAGCAGCATCCCTGGCCTCTACTCACTACATCCCCCAAGTTACGACAACCAAAAATGTCTCCAGACATTGGCAAATGTTCCCTAAGGGGGCAACATCACCCCTGGTTGAGAACTACTAGGTTAAAATATACATTATTTCCTCAAAATGGATGGATAAAAACATACATGTTCTTTTTATTATTATTCTTTCCACTGTACATAAATATTATATTCCCTTTGTACGAATGGTATATATCATAATCTCAATTTTAAAGAAAATATAGATATTACTTTAAAAATAAAGTGGCACCAGTCACATTGACTTAAAACATGAACCTGAGAATAATTGTTAAGACTTCCTTAATACTTACAAGAACCTCTGACACATAGGTGTCAAGTGCTTTTTATACTATTTTCATTCCTCATAACCACCTCCAGTTTACAGATTAATAAGCTGAGACTCAGACAGGTTAAGCAACTTGCCCAAAGTCACCAGCTGGATGTGGTGGAGCCTGGAAGGCGCCTGAGGACCACACGCGCAGCCTCCCCCAGGATGCCAAGCCCTCAGCCAACCACCAGGTACAAACTATATACACCAAGAAGTTACGATGTCCTGGCGGGGCCAGCCGCCGGGGTTCAGAGCCCAGTTCGCCACTTAGCAACGCCATACCCTGGCCCCCGAAAGTAACTCTACCTTTAAAGCCGTTTCGTCGTCTGTAAGATGGGGTAAGAGAAATAGGCACTTTACAGGCTGTCGTGGGAACTAAATGAGATAATCGGTGTCAGGTGCTTACATCAGTGCCGGGCACACAGTAAGCACTAGCCACTGCTGAGAGCGATCATTTTCGGCTTTACTGTAAACCGCGAAGTCGAGCCAGTCGTTACTTAGCGACAGACTGAGTAACAGCAGAAATCCTCCGAGATCACCTAACACCTTCCAAATGACCACAGAGAGGGGGCAGCGCCTGCCCGAGGGCACACAGTGAGGCCCGGGTCCAGAATAGCAGCACAGAGAGCCCCTAAAATCAGGACCCGCGTAAACAGGCGGGGAGGGGGGTTAGCGGGGTCGCAGGGGTGCCCACTCACCGAACTGCATCCAGTCCCACTCGCTCAGCGCGTCCATGTTGCGGCACAGGTCGTCCAGCACCCAGGCGGGCAGCTGGTAGATGTAGCAGGACATGGCCGGGCTCCGAGGGCCAGGGGGCCGGCAGCGCTGACAACTGAGTCCTACGCGGCAGGACTCTGCTTCTCTACCGGCTGGCTGGTGGGTCCACCCAGCGCAAGCCGCCGGGGAAGTGGGCGGGGCTGGGCTTGGGCTCTACTGCCCCCCAGCGGTCACCGGGGTCGCGACGCCTCCCGGCCGGCTGGACCAGCAGCTGCGAAACCAAGAGGGTCAGAGCCGCCAGGAGGGGAAACAGGCCCAGAGGAGCAAGGGAACACGGGCAAGTCCACACGGGAATTCAGCGGCAGTCCCAAGAGACCTTCTGACTCCACCTCCAGGTCTTTTGGCCCTCTGCCACATACGATTCCTTCAAGAGCTAGTCTATTAATTACCTGCTATATGTGGGACAATGTTCGAGGTGCTGGAGATGCATAAGTGGAGAAAACTTACCAAAGTCCATGTTTTCATGGGACTTACAATCTAGGCGGGGATGGGAGTGGGGGAGGAAACTAGCAACAAATAATAACACCATTGAATAGGTAAGTTACATGAAATGCTAAAAGGTCAAAGTGCTGTGGCAGGGGGTGGGGGAAGGAAAGAAAAAGAGGAATGAGGTGTTCAGAGCAAGCAGGGGGAGGACTGTATTAAATAGGGTAGTCAGGATAGACTGATTTTTTAAAATAAATTTTATTTATTTATTTGGCTGCATTGGGTCTTCGTTGCTGCACGCAGGCTTTCTCTAGCTGCTACGAGCAGGGGCTACTGTTCATTGCAGTGCGTGGGCTTCTCACTGGGGTGGCTTCTCTTGGTGCAGAGCACGGGCTCTAGGCCAGCGGGCTCAGTAGTTGTAGCTCACGGGCTTAGTTGCTCCACAGCATGTGGGATCTTCCCGGACCAGGGCTCGAATCCATGTCCCCTGCATTGGCGGGCGGATTCTTAACCACTGAGCCACCAGGGAAGTCCCTAGACTCTGATTTTAAGGGCTAATATTTATTGAGCAGCTACTATGTGCCAGGGACTGTTCTAGGTGCTGGGGTTCCCTCTGAAGAAAAAAAGGACAAAATCCCTGCCCTGGAGGAAGACACACAATAAGCAGTAAAAATGCTAAATAAGTAAATAATTTAGCACTGTAGAAGGTGATAGGTAATGTTAGGGAATAAAAATAGATTATAGTAAAAGAGAGCAGGAGTAGCTAATTGCATTATTCATTGTCTTAGAAGGTGATAAATATTATTGGGGCAAAGCAGAATATGGTAAGAGGAACTGGGGGGCAAAGTGAATTATTGAATAGGGTAGAAGGAGAACATAATCACTAGTATTTATTAAGCATTTATGACGGGCAAACTTCACCAAGGTTGTTTTACTTACTCCTCACAATGACCTTATGTGTTACCCCCACTCTACAGATGAGGAACAGAGAAGTCAAATAACTTGCCTAAAATCATACAGGTACAAAGTGGCAGAGCTGGGATTTGAACCCAATCCGTCTGACCACTAGCTACAAGCTGCCTCGTTATTGCAATAACTACCATTTACCTATACCTACAATGTGCTTTGCATAAATCATTTTATGTAACTCTCATAAGCCTATGCTTTTACACAGAAGTAAATGGGTTCCAAGAAGTTAGGCAGTATCATCTAAGGCACATAAGCAACTAGAGCACCACTTTGCAGCTACAAACATCAGCTATGGAAAGAAGAAGGAAACTAAAAGGAAAGTGAGCAGCCCTGAGAACAAGCCCCAGCTCTGCTACCAACAGGTTTTGCGACCCTGGACAACTCATGTCACTTCTCGAGCCTCGCTTTCCACATCCTTAAAGTGGGACTAATCATTCCTCCTGCTTAGAGCTATGAGTGAAGGAATTGGATTAAATCAGTTTACACAATTATAAACACATTAGTTTATAAACAATCGCTCATATATTGATTAAATCAATTTAGACAGGTCTTCCCTGCACAGAGAATGCGATCCAAAAGTGGTAGTCGCCATTGATAATATTGAAAAAGCGCCCACAGGCCTTGGGGTCCTATCGGGATTTGGGTCCTAGTTCAGTCACTGTCTCTGGTTCTTCATCCGTGAGCCAGTTTGCAGTTTTTTCTTTTGTAAATTGGGTATCCTGCTCCACCCACTTCGAAGGATTTCTGTGAAGTTTAAACAGACCCCAAAATGCTCGGGGTAAACTGTAAAGTGCTGAGCCCCATAAGGAATCACTATTATGTGAGTGTACCTCCTTGGTGTTTGACATGGGGTGCATTCCAGCGCTCCAAGACTGCTTTTCAGGGGAAGTCTCGTGTTGCAGCAGTGGTTGAAGGAGGAATTTGAGGTAGAAGAGCTCCAGGAATGGTCTGACGGAGGCTGAGTGGAAAAAGCACCTACCTCCCAGGTGCAAGGGGCAAAGGAGGATAAGGGTCCTTCTTTTTCTCTCCTCTATTTGCAGAGTCCCGGCCTGCTTTCCCCTCTGCTGCAAGCACAGAGCCACTGTCCCTTGTAGTGCTTTTACCCTAGGGCCAGGGGGCCTCTTCCCCTTGGTGAGGCTTTATAACCACAGCAGGTTCGCAACAGCCTTGGCCCGTCCAGGAGACAGGTAGGCCGGGCAGCCCCTCTCTCTCTGCTGCCTCCTCCGGCCCCTGGTTGCAGTGTTCCTTCTTGCCCAGCTCCAGGGCTTGCGACCTGAGTCCTAGGATTCTTTCCTGCAAAGACGATTGAGTAGTTCTGGGCCTAACTAAGCAGGCCATCTTAGGCACATGTCTTTGTCCCCATTCTTTAGAATATGTTCTTCAAAGTAAGGTCCTTGCTATCACTAATTAACAGAGTTGCCACTCACCTATCAAGTACCAGGCATTTAACACATATTATCTGGGATCCCCACAACGACCCTACAGGGTAGGTTTATCATTCCCATTCTACAGATGGGGAAACTGAGGCTCAAGTCAATTGTAACTTGTCCAAGCCAAACTGGCCAAGTGACAAGATTCAACCCAAGTCTGATTCCAAAGGGAGGGCTCTTTGTGCCCTATTATATCACCTCACCCTGAAAAATTTCCTGTGATCCTGCACACATGTCTTCTCCTAATTCGCTTTTCTGTGACCAACAGCCTCCACACCAGGATCAGTTAGAAAGTTATTGAGGCCGAATGTAATTAGTGATATAGTGTGCCATTTTGACCTGTTCATGATTAATTCCCTTGAAGTTACAATCAGAGGTTTGCAATCCCTGCTACACCTTAGAATCAATCATCTGGGAGCTTTAAAAAGACTCTACAGGCCCAGCCCTACCTCCATCCAGAGATCCAGGGGCGACTGTTCTGGGCTGGGACTCAGGCACTAGCATTTCAAAAAGCTTCTCGGGTAGTTCTACTTATGTGCCAGCAGAGTTGAGGACCCATGTGACATCAGGAAGATGGGCATGAAGGAAGGCTGATGAAAAGGAAATAACCACAGTAAGGCTTTTCTGTGTACTTTGCACATATTTTTTCTTTTCTAATAAAAATAACTTTATTGGTTTTTCTGATAGTACATGATCACTGTCTGAAAAAAGGAGTGAATTAAGAAAAAACCCAGGGACTTCCCTGGCGGTCCAGTGGTTGGGATTTGGCCTTCCAAAGCAGGGGCTGCAGGTTCGATCCCTGGTCGGGGAGCTGAGATCCCGAATGCCTCGCGGCCAAAAAAACAAGACATAGAGCAGAGGCAGCATTGTGGCAAATTCAGTAGAGCCTCGGAGGATGGTCCACATCAAAAAGAGAAAAAACCCAGTCCTAGCCTTTCTTCCTCCTGTAGAGGGGGAACGCCAGTTCCCTCTTCTGTGTTTCTCCTTACCTTTGTAACCGAGCAGGACCCTGTGGGGCCTTCCCAGAACAGACACCCCGCACCCCTGCCACCCCCAGCATCCTCTGCCTGTCTTTTGTCTGTAGAAAACCTTTAGCCCCCTAGGCCTTCCTCGAGTTCCAAAGAGTGAATTTAATCAGCAATGTGAGAAAATGCAGAAAGAAAGGGGAACAGTCAAGCATGACAAAACAATAACAGTTTAGCCATTAAACAAAGTTGAGGACTTTTAGCTCCTCCTCAAGGGCTATAGGTAATATTCTGAGCCAAATTCTTTGAACGGTTTTGCAGATACTAAAACCCCCACCAGGTGGAAGAAGTTAACCTTATGCTGCCCACAAGCACGTAGGCCCCAGACCAGTTGGGACCAGAAGGTTGATGTTGTTGACTCCCAATTATCTCATCCCCAACCAGTCAGAAGAGTGTCCACTAGCTGACCACACACCCCACAACACCCCCTCCCTCACACTGTCTTTAAAAACCTTTTCCCAAAAGCCTTCGAGGAGTTCAGGGTTTTTGAGCACTAGCCACCTGGACTCCTTGCTTGGCGCCCTGCAGTAAACGCTGCACTCCCCTTCACCACAACTGGGCATCAGTAGATTGGCTTTACTGCACGGGGCAAGCAGACCCAAGTTTTGTTCGCTGACACTATTACACACAACACGTCACTTCTGACACTTCTGGTCACCAAATGGAGGAGAGGGGGTAGTTTCCCCACAACAAGCAATTCTCTGTGACACCAGCTGGGTGTCTGACAATTAAACTTAATTCTAACACTATCTACCTGGAGATAAGTGTCAGATCCCACAGGTTAAGGGCTCAGTTCTGCAAGACTGCCCCCAACTCCCCTTCAGATGCCAGTCCCAAGTAGTAGGTCCCCAAGTTACCTATAACTTCCGTCCAACTTGGCTACAAATCAGAGGTTCCCAGGACCCCTCCTCAAGTTCAATTAAGTTGCTAAAGTGGCTCACAGAACTCATGGAAACACACTTACCAGTTTATTAAAGGATATGATAAAGGATACAGATGAACACCCAGATGAAGAGAAATACAGGGTGAGATCTTTGAGGGTCCTGGGCACAGGAGCTTTGGTCCCAGTGGAGTTGGGGTGCATCACCCTCCCAGTGTGGGTGTGTTTGTCCCCCTGGAAGATCTCTGAACCCCCTACTTTGGGAGTTTATGGAGGCTCCGTCAAGTAGGCATGATCAATTATGAACCTCATTTTCAGCCCCTCTCCCCTCTCTGGAGAAGGCTGG